CATGAGTTTTAAAATATCGGGATATCGGCCAAAATCCCAACATCGTGCATCCCTAGTCTGTAGTGACTGATGAGATAAACAGTTACAAATAATTCTAACATTTAATCATTGTTATTTTGAGTTTCACACAATTTGTTTTTAATTTAGCATTTTAATTATACACGTCTAATGGCTAAATTTCAAATGCATAAAATATATATATATATATATCCCAAAAGTAAATTAAACATTAGAAAGAAATGAGACAAAATCATAAAAAAAAAGATGAATCATGTTCTCAAACTGAATAAAATAAAATAAAAATTAGACACTAAGATTTTAAATATACCCATTTTCTCTAATCTGGTAAATAAAAACCAGGCTTGTCAGATTATTAATCTTTCAGCCGTGCTATCATTTAGCTAAATACACAACCATACAAACAAAAGGGAATTTTTAAAAAGCAACAAAAGCAATCCCTCAAAAATTTCATGAACTGCAAAAAGTCCCAAAATGTAAACCTGTTCTTCCTAATGTTTTTGATCAATAGGCACATTTCAAAAAAAAAAAAAACTCTGTTAGTTCATTTTTCAGTAGGACTGTTTACTAAACAAATACTGTATTTTTACATATATTCTCTGTTGATCCAGAGAAAAACACGTTACCCAAAGCTTCATTTCCTCTAAAAGCTCAGGAAGTTTCACTCCAACACTCACCTGTCATAAGAATCTTCCAGACACTGTTTTCCTATTGATGATGGTACTACGATGATATTTTCTGGAGTAGATATTGAATAAACAGATCCTCCTTTTTATGAATGAGTCTAATATAAAACAATGGATGCTCTGCTTTACTGGCTTTTTTACAAAATCCCAAACTTAGCTGAACTCAAAAAGGCTGAGATCTTTGGGACACTGGAAAACAACATGAAATATTGAAATATAATGAAGATTATAATCATTATGGGGAAAGGTTTTATTCATATATCATGTTTTGTAAAAAAAAAAAAAAAAACACCCTTTCATTTCTTCTATCATGACAAACCCAAACATCTGGGACTTTTTCACCTGCTAAGCCTCTAACTGTTAGAAAAAGCCCAAACTTTTTTCATTTATTGTCTTTTTTAAAGTCCTTCTATTTATTTATTCAATCTGTGTCTTTATCTATAGCTTAATCCGTATAATTACTTTTTAATCACTTCTATATTTTTCACCTTAATATGTGTGGTAGCAGGCTGCACTAGGGTCCAGATTATTAGTTTTATCACCTTTAGTGTAGGATTTAAAAGAAAAAAATAGTTTACCACAAGCTTCATTGGACTCTACGGAAAAAATAAAAAAAGTTAACTGATTTTTAAATGGTTTTTCAGTATAATATAAGAAAAAAAATTAGAATTATGACTTTAATCCCAGAATTCTGATTTAAATCTCAGAATTTTGGATCCTAATCTTAAAGGGCACCATGAATGAAGAGATGTGGGAGCACTCAGCTTCACTGACAAAGATGTGATTTGTTTGGGAGGGCCAGTAACACATTGGAGGAAAATGAAGGACTTAGGCGACTTTTTATGTGCCAGAGGGGTCACTATTTCATTGCTATTTCATTAACGGAAGAACAGAAGGTGATTAAAACAAAAGAGCTAGTTTCTAAAACAGACATGGCTACAGCTTGATGCT